ACAGTAGCTTGACTTAGTAACCAGGACTGAAGCTGCTTATTTCATTCCCACATTCAGGGAGAATTAAGGAAGACAGTGTGGTGGGGACACAGGCTGCCTCTTTCTTTGTGAGTATGGAATGTACCTGGCTCCCAGGATGGCAGATCTTTTTGGAAGCTGTTGTCAGTATGCATATGGAACCAAGGATGGGCATTTGTGCTTTAAATAGTATGTAATGTGACAAATGTTCATTAGGCGTGGAAATGTCCCTACAAGTTAACAATGATCATACATAGCAGCCAAAGCATCTTTATTCAGAAAGAATGGACTTCCATGACTGACTATGCAGGTTTTTATGTTCATGTTTTTGTTTGTTTGTTTGTTTTATCAATGTAACAACTCCCAGGACTTTTCCTTTAAACCAAGTATTCAGACACAGGAACTGACAGCTTGATATGAGTCATTGCCAGGTTCAGGTGGACAGTTAGTTTTACTTGTATTAAATGGTATAAAAAGCACAACTCAATTTGAAAAGTAAATAAAACACAGCTGAATTCTAGAGACAGTTTTGATAAAATAGTTTATATGGACACACTTAACTAAATGATTTCCTGAAACAGCCTTGAGTGGGACTCTCTGAATCCACCATCTGAGTCAATTGTACAACTAAATCTGATAATGTTTTCCTTCCTCTTGAGCACACACAGACCAAATTTTACTTTTGAATCATCTCAACCAGTTATTGAACTGCCAGTGATGAAGACATCTCAAAATACCTACTACAGTACATTTTTTCCCTAACAGGGAAAGGAGGGACAGATTATGGAGTTGCCTAAGGTCGCACAATGAAGAGCTAGCAGTGCCAGAGTGTCATAACACCTGTGAGGGAATCTGTAATTTCAGTGTGATGGGGGTGGGTAGGAGCAGTCATCTGAAAGAGTAGGTCTCCACGACGGGAACATGCCCATTATCTATTTCCCATTAAAAGATAAAACACCTCATCTAAGAGACAACTTCATAGCAGGTAACAATTATTTTGTATCCACTGTGAGACAACAGGAGTCTTGGCTAGAAAACAGGAACACTGTCTCCTGCAGGGATTAGTCTGTAAATAATGCAAGTGATTTCCTATCTGTGGACTTTCAACATATGTATTGCTTTTAAGGCTAATTACTCTCCTTGATGCACACTGGTGAATCTTATAGAGTGTAGATCAGGCAGCACATCAGGATCCCCACAGGTCACCAGGAACAGTCCGTTGGGAAGAACCTGAATTCCCCCACAATGAGACTATAAATAGAAATCACATGGGAATAGCAGATTACCCAAGGTCTGTGTCTACGGCTGGTGAAGAGAGGATTATATTTATAACTGTCGTATTTTTAAAACATCTCAGTATATAGTAATGCTATGGAAGTTATTCTTTTACTTGAATGTATATGTGATATTTTATTTATGGACCTACTAAATGTTTTTGCATAGATACTCCACTTAAGTTATTTTTAAGTGAATTTCTTGAGTAAAGATCCTTATCATGTATTAAGCAACTAACCATGAACAACAGTGTCTGAATATTACTCCATGAGGGATTCACATCTCCTATAAAGAAATTCCACAGACAGAGATTTCTATATGCATTCTTTTGAACACAGCTAGGAATATCCCCAACTGAATAACAAGAATAAATCTGTCTCTTAAGAAAACTGCCTAGTCTTCTTAGAATAAACTGACTCCGTCTCCACTGTAACATGAAATAAGCAATGTCCTAGTTAATTTAGCAACTTAAATTTTCAATATGCTTCTTGTTTCCAGAAAGTATAAACACCACATATAACCAAATGAGCTTGTGCATTAACAACTTGAGATATATAGAAACATTACTGGAGAGAAACAAAAAGGCCAGGGGAGGTTTTAGAGCTATCCGATTATTTACATGCTATAAAATAAACCAGTGAATGTGGTTTTCATATTGGAAACATTACTGGAGAGAAACCAAAAGGGCAGGGGAGGTTTTAGGGCTATTTGATTATTTACAAGCTATAAAATAAACCATGAATGCAGTTTTCATATTGTTTGAGGAAAGAAGAAACTTTCTCAATTATCAAGCAAGGTAGTCATCAGTCTGGAAGGTGTAGAGGGATAGATACAGCTTCTGGTTTTCTGTGTGTGGTATATCACATCCTCATCAGGAGAATTTATTATAGTGTGTGGCACAACACTTCCTAGTCATATGGCTTTATTGGTCTTTGGAGATCCCATTTTCTGGTTTACAGATAAGAAATGTTGATTAAATATGTCTTTGACATAAACCCTACAGGGGCCACTAAGGATCATGCAGGCCTAGATTAAACATTCACAAAAGGTTTTTCTCTCTCTTTTAATCCCTCACCTCAGAAAAATGAATAACTGATAGCAATAGGTGTGATCTGTATTTCACAAAGTAATGGCTGTGTCTTGGTGTTTAGGCGACATGTTTTCTATACACTACCACATTTAATTGCAAGCTAAATATAAAAAGGAAATTCCCATAGGTTAAGAAACCGAGGCACAAAAAAACAAACTGTAGGCTAAAGATCAGCAGCAGAGGCCGGGCGATGGTGGCGCACACCTTTAATCCCAGCACTCGGGAGGCAGAGGCAGGCGGATCTCTGTGAGTTCAAGACCAGCCTGGTCTACAAGAGCTAGTTCCAGGACAGGCTCCAAAGCCACAGAGAAACCCTGTCTCGAAAAAAAAAAAAAAACAACAACAACAACAAAGATCAGCAGCAGATAGCAAGACACCCCTCTTTTGAACTAAATACAACTTATTCATACATATTTAACACTTAGTGCATCTAAGGCAGAAAACCTGTTTCAGCCTCATTACTTGAATTCTGGCTCTGATGATGTGAAAAAGTTGTAAGGAAAAATGAAGAAAGGTAGAGGGAGCCAACAGTGGGAAACACAGCAGAGAGTTGCACTGTGTGCGGACGTTAGAAATCCTGACATCTCTGGAGCAAGCCACAAAGAAGGAAGACTCCTAGGTGCAGTGCAGCTTTCCCTTGTTTACTTCCCATTACAGTTGTCTCCTCTAGATCCTGTCTATCAGCTGCAAGAGAAAAAGTGTAAATCCATTTATGTCTACAGGCAAGTTGTAAAAAAGTTCATACCTCCTCAAAATAACATTTTTATTGGGCATAATAATATCCTATGCTGAAACGTTCCATCTTGGTGAGGTGGGTGTACCTGGGAACAGTGCTATACACACAGTGTAATGAGCTTTTTCTAAAAGCAGACTAACTATACAGAAAACCACTTACAAATAAATAAATAAGAAGCACAGAGTTCACTTCATGCTTCTGAACGTGCTCTCGGAAGTGGCGTGCTCATAGATTTGCTCGTTAGCCTTAGCTGTGATTCACCTTTAACTAGAAGACCTCACTCCACTCACGTTCTGACTATATGTCTGCACTCTATGCTCTACAACCAGATAGAGAGTAGGTTATCAAGGAAGCAGCAGGTAGGCCAGTATGCTCTGTCAGGCTACTCTTAGAGTCTTGAGTCTTCTGCCTTTCATCCTGCAGTTATAAGCTACACACTGACTGGGGCCAACAACAGGGGTTAAAGGTGGCATTGGAGAGAGTGTCAGCTTGGTTACTTAATTCTAAAACTCTTCTAAACAACAGTGTAAATAGAAAATGACTCCTGTGGATCTTGCCACCAGGGTCAGTATTATTGTTTATTTAGTCTGAAATGACCTTTTTCAACTGCTCAACTGGGAAGAAAACTGTAATTCCCTCTCATTGCAGTTTGGCTTTGCAAAATCCACTGGCATCAGATTTTCAAGAAGATGGTAGTTGATTACCGTGAATCTCTAGTCTGTGGGATTCCTGGGCAGCATGTGAGCAGGACCTACTTTTTTCATCTTAGTGAGAGAAACATTGGCAGTGCCTGATATTGGAACCTAATAGGAACCAGTTTACTAAATGTAATTTGCTCTGCAAGCTAGGAGAAATACTTTCAATTAACAAAAGAAACCCTAATTATCTTGGAATGGTTTTTAACAACAAGGGTAAAGACTGTTAATTGTAACTTTGTTTTTAATAGGAGGAAAAAACAAACAAACAAACAAAAAAAACCAAAAAAATAGCCCAACAATCCATGTTAAAAAAAACAACAGATAATTACATAATAAATTAGTATTTAGAATAATGGAATAAAAAAGCACCCCAATCTGTTCAGACTTAGAACGATACTTAAGATATATTTTTGAATGAAAAAGGAAAATTAAAGAACAACGTAGCTAGAAGCAAATAGTATAAAAAAAACCTTCCAACTTGATTTTATGGATTTTTCTTGAAGTAATTAATTGTTGGAAAAAATGCCAAGAAGTGTGTAGAAACCTACATACCATACAGGTCACAGTTGTATGAGAAATAGGGCCAGGATTGAGGTGATGAAGTAAGTTGGACTTTTAAATATAGGAATCATATTTGTATTTTTTTCTAAAATTAAATATGTAAATCAAAAGCTTAAATGTCTGGGCTGGAAAGACAGCGTGGTATATAAGCATGAGGAAGTACCAGAATTCAGAATCCCAGTGCACATGGGAAAAGCTAAGCATGACGGCACGTAGCTGCCACCCCAGAAGTGGTAGTGTGGAGGCAGACAAATCTCTGAAGCTCATTGGCCAACTAGTATAGCTGGATTGGTGAGTTCTAGATTCAGTCAGAGAACCTGTCTCAAAAAAATTTCAGCAAGAAGCAATTGAGGAAGACACGTGAGTTTAACCCCTGGCCCCCAAACACACATATATGTCAATCACTTGCACATACACACATACATGTCACACAAATACACAGACACATGCATGTGAAATGTTTAATTGCAGTAATATAGTGACAAGAAACAACATTCTATCAAGAAATGCATTGTGTTGGGGAAAACAAATCCGATCTTTGATCAGAAGGAACTATGTTGTGTAACACTTACTCATCGGCAGAAGAGCTTGGCCCCTGAAGGCCATTACCACCAAAACTCACCCCGTGCTGTTGAGGTAGCTCTGTCCCACGCTGCAGTCTTTTGACAGTGAGGATGGGTTGAACCAAAAAGCTGGCAGGCATTGCCCATTACTATGTCTCTCATAGCCATAGTCACTGTTAGGGAAATACCCAAGATAAAACTTTTAGCCAGAGGCAAACTTAATCAAAACTATTTCATATTAGACCACACCAACTTCTAATCAGTCAATAAAATGAGCATTTCTTGAACCAATTTCTTCAAAAATTAAACATTTTTCTAGTCATTCTCTATTACCCAGGAAGAAATCTCATAGAACCAATATTCCCACTTAAATGCCTTTAAGATATAGGAATGGGTTAGTTCTCAGGTAATTAGGAACCTGGCAGTGTCAGATGCTTGAGTCTTAGTGAAAACATCATCATAGAGGTTAACACAACCACATGTGGCACAGTCCTCATTACCAGTGATGTCTTTGGGATGTTCTTCCAAAACATCTGGTTGTAACAAGTAGAGCACAGCCAGGTTTCCCTGTGTGCGAGCCATATGCTTCAGAGTTCCAGCCAAAAAGAGAATGCCCTTCAGGAATATCTCAAGCACTTCCCCAAGGAAAAGTTTTGTCCTCAGCAGTCAGCAGTGCCAGTGATACTAACTGCCTTAAATCTTGCCTCTGCACTGAAAATGCTCAAAAGAATTTTCTCTCAGTCTCGATTCATTCTTGCTTCCAGGGGACTCTGATTTTCTTGGCTTCTGGAAGATGAAACTGGGCACCGAAAAGGACAACAAATTGTACCTCCACATGCACAGACAAATCCCAGGCAGCAACGGGCAAGCATTAGTATGAATTGGCCCATCTTTGTAATAGAGGTGAGTTATTGGCATGGGGCGTGCATGGCGGGAGCAATGGGCTCAGCCTCAGGGGCCTGTCATCAGGCAGCTGGAGCTGAGCATTCTGTACATACCCTCTGGATTAGGGCCTGGTTCAACACAGCATGAATAGGGAGGCTACAGAAGAGCCACTTCCAGAACACCCAGGGCTCACTCCAGGGAAATAGCTTACAAAAGCGGGAGCATGACAAGGAGCATCCAATGACAGTACCTTTCATTATGCTACTGTGAAAGAAGATCGTAGAACACCCAGCTACTAACAGAAACCCAACAAGGGCATGGTGAGCCTTCCAAAATATTTTCAGATACCACACAGTCACAAAAATTCCATTCGCGCAGGAAACCTTGCAATAGTACTACTCAAGACTCCTTTTCTACTCCTTAAAATACTGTTCAGTTTGAGGGACTATTAACAGACTCCAGCCACCACTGAATTCAGGAGTCTGAACGAGACAGACATGGGGGTTGGCGAGGAGAGAAACCTCGTTAATTTCCTTACCTTGTGCTATTTTTGCCTTGATCAAAAACAAAATAATGGTTTATTTGGAAATAAAATTCAAAGTAGACAACGTTTTCATGAAAAAAGTAGAATATTTGGGGTATCTTACCTCACTTCCCCCCCACCTCTGTCTCTCTGTCTCTCTCTCTGTCTCTCTCTCTGTCTCTCTCTCTCTCTCTCTCTCTCTCTCTCTCTCTCTCTCTCTCTCTCTCTCTCTCTCTCTCTCTTGTGTTTTGTTTTTCCTAACAGGCTTTCTCTGTATAGCCCTGGCTATCCTGGAACTAGCTCTGTAGACCAGACTGGCCATGAGCTCATAAAGATCCACCTGCCTCTGCCTACCGAGTGCTGGGATTAGAGGAGTACACCACCACTGCCCTGCCTAGATTTTCCATTAGAAGAAAATTTTGCTCTTTTTGGAGAATGACTAGTTCACAGCACCACAGCTCAGCCAATAAAGTGCCATGTTAATTTCCTTTGCAAATTCTCCTTCAATATAAGAGACCATCAAGAACTGGTCAGCCTTCAGAATGAGGGATGCGATGGATGACTTAGAATCTCAAGGTAGGTATTCCTGTGGATAACTTTCTGGGTGACAGTTCCAAGAGCAGGGCAAGGATAAAGAACTGTTGTTGTTGCAGTTATATAGCACTGACAGACGTCCTGGCTGGGGAAGCCCATCTAGAACTCCTGTGAGTTCTACTGTTGATGAAGCCCTGATGCCCTTCAACTAAATGCGAACAGCTGCAATGCTGTTTCTTGGTTTGCCTTGTTCACCAACAAGAGAAAGAAAAGATGGGTTATTGGTTTAACAACTGGCAGACATTCTCATCTCTACTAATCCAGAGAGCATCTTTAGTGGTCTGCCATTAGAGAAGCCGAACTTTTCTGTGATGGGAGATGCATGTTTAGACTGCATCTCACATGAATGACTCACATTTTAATGACTATACATACGAGCTGTTATAGGTGCACAGCTAAAAACAAAATAAGAATGAATAATTTATATATGGTTCAAGTGTTGAGTGTTTAACATTTATATAAACATATATTAATTTCTTCCTTTAGTATATATTCTGAGATAAATAAGAAAAATGTAAGAGGGAAAGAGCAACAGAAAATGTGATTGCTAAGTTATTCATCTTCATCAATCATTTCTCAATTTCACCTGGAGATCAAACACCGACCAAAATTAAGTCAAGAGCATTGCTAGCTCTTCAATATAGATTTCTGCTTAGCTAATGTCTGGGCAGAAATCTACTGCTTTCTTTAGTTGATATCTCTCAGAGTCTCGCTGCTTCTCGAGTTTAAATTTATCTCTATAAACTCTCAGATCACAAGGTCAAATTGAGTCCACTCTTGCAGTGAGTTTATAAATGTCACACTCTTAAGCTCTCACAAGCTGTGGGTAGTTGACCACCACAGATTGAAAACTTTCAGGAACAGAGAGTTTATGCCTTTTGAAGTTATTATGCCTACCACAGATGCTAGATTCTAGGAAGATTTTATGTAGCACATAAGTGTATTTGCTCCCTGAGAACTTCAATTACTATTTCCCATGTTGTTATCTATCTACCTAAAGTAGCTCAATATAGATCTGTCCCCTCTCTTTTTTTTCTGAGAATACACCATCAATATGAAGATAATTGCCAATCATCTTGTAAGACCTCTTAAAATCCAAAGAAGAAACTGCTGTTTTTTTGAAAGATACAATCACATAGCTAATAAAAAGCATGATGCTGCCAAGAGAGAATTGTATAAAGACATGAAGTCTGCCACTTAGCTCTAAGTGGATTATCACTTTTTCAAATCTAAGCTTTTATTGAAGGCTTCATGGATGTCATATTACTGAACAGCTCTGTGAAATAGCTATGGAAGCTCACCAGTCAAAATCTGCCTCTGTACAAACACAAGGCTCAGACTCCATTGCTCCTGCATATTTTCCCTGCATACACTTCCGCTCAGATTTTCGCTTCTTATATATCCTTTTGGCTCCCATGATGCATGCTTCACCCTGCAAGGAAACAAATATGGCACAAAATCGAGCACACAGTTAGACTCCTCTTATTACATAACAATGTGGTTTGGGGAGATATTCACAAACTTTAATATAAATAAGATATTTAGGAATCCAATTTGTGCAATTGGTATTTTTCTCCTGAAGCCTATTATGAAGTATGAACACAAAGGCAGTTCCAATAATCAATGCATATTTTTCTAATGATAGCCTCAACTCCTTATATATTCAGTAAACCTTTTTGGGCAATTGTTAGGCTTAGTGCAATGAAGGGCACAACAGAATATAATGTTGCCTATAACTAATAAATTGACTGCTAACCTGCAATGATTAATTTTAGTTTAGTATAAGAAAAGATTTATAGAGTTGGTCATTTATGAGCACATGAAAGAACATTACTAAGAAACATAATATCAATTCTATCTCAATTGCTATGTTTTTCTGTATAACTTTATAATACTAATTTTATGATCATCTACCAGAGAAGCAAGAAAGCCAAGTTCATTCTCTTTTCCAATAAATAAAAGCTGTAATTGTTACAATGTGTAGGCACCCCAAAATGAAACACAGCAGCAATATGAGTGAAAATTTCTTTGGTTTGACTCTGAAAAGGGGAAGTGTTCCTTGCTAATGCTGCACACACCATCAAATATAGCACCTTTGTGTTCTGAAAAATCAGAGCAGGATTTTTAAATCTATTTTCCCCTGTCTATACAGAGGAAACTTACTTTAACTGGTTCCATTTCATATCATGAGTAAATACTTCACTCTGTCAGAGTATAGCAGGTAAATGTTTCACTTCCTGAATATAGGTATGACTTCTTAGTGGGTACTTCCACATATCCCTTAAATTGCCTGCAAGACTGACGTCTATATTGGGAAATTAAAAAGAGAAGACCTCATCCACGGATTTTGATGAGATGTATAACTAAGAGAGATGATGTAGGACAGTCAGTTTTCTATTAGCAATTTCACATTCTTATGCCATAAGAATCTTGGAGGAAGCAAGAGGCACTCTAGACTCCTAAGTAATCACAGTAATGTAAAGGGACTTCCTTGGCATCACTCACCCATCATTCTTTGATGATTTTATGCCTTAGCTGTGTCTGCATTGTTCATTGAAACTGAAAAACCAACCCTCACTCTGCATCTTTCATGCAGCCCTATGCTATGCTCAGACAAATTATGTTTGCATCTCAGTCTGAGTTCATATTTCATTTTGAGGTATAAATCTAAGCTAAGCATATTTTAATTTTTATTCCATTGTATCTTATCATAAATAAAACAGAAACAACTTCACAACAGGATATAAATGTTGAGGTAGATTATGCTGTGAGACATAAAACGTAGAAGAATGAAATGGACAACATGGACTTGAGAACTCCAATTCTTAAGCCATAAGGAGTGGTTGTTTTCCATATATCCTCTGCCTACTTCCCGCAGGACATGTTCATCTCTCTAACTCCTACCTGACTGTGCAACTGCCAAGGTCTGTAGTCTTCTTCAGCACAGCGTCTATCAAAAATGGACTTATAATCCACTTTGACAAGCTGCCATTCAGAGCGGTGGCTGAAATGTCCAAACACTCTGCAGGGTTTACAGTGATAGATAAGAGTCACAATCATGAAAACAACAACAGTTTAACAACAGCTTGCATTAATTTGTCTGCTGTGAAGATGACACACTGTGAGCCACATTACACGGATCACATCCCCTCACTGTTGAGAACATTTATGAAGACGATCTTATCACTGACTGCACTTTGCAGACAGATAAATTGAGGCTCAAAGATTTTTTTGTCAACACATAATTAACATTCATATCACTAGCAACTGGGAAAGCCAGATTCCAAAATAGTTGATTCAAAGACACAAGAATGGCTTAGAAAAACAACTGAAGAAACACCGACAAATGCTATATTCTAGGTGGTCCAATATATAATTCTAGATGGTTTTGTTACTATATCTAGTCCATAGCTTCCATATTCTTTACCTTTTCGTAAGGTCCTACAGAAAGTGGACAAAAGGACCAAGTAATCACAATTCCTCTTACTTTATAAACCATGCTCTCCTGCAGGGATTCTGTTAGTTAGTATAGAATTTAGTCACTAGACAGTGTAGACAAAGTAGCCTTTCAGATCAACTTTGCTGTATGTGAAACAATATTTTGAAAACATAAATATTGAATAAAAGTGAGCTACTTAATATACTTCGGATCTAGTTGTGTTTGCCATGTACAAAAGTGAAAGTGTGACTACTAGGCATAGTAGATTAAGTAGATTATTCTTATCTTTTCTCACTGCTACAAGTGAGGAGGTTTAAATGTCTGACAATTTTTCACTTTGAGTTTGACATTTTTACTGATTTCTCATTCAACTACTTTGGAATTATCTATCTTTACAGATTTTCCATGATCCATTTTCTAAGAGCAGGGAATATCACAGTTACATATTTCAAATTCAAAGTTCAAGTTTTGAAACCCACAGTCAGTTAAGTCATTAATCAAGTCTTTCATGAATTAATGATCATTACTTTCCAGACAAGAATGAATGTAAATTAAATTTTTGCAAAGCCAGATGCTCTCATAACCATAATATATCCATATCCTTAATATGTCTCACAATCATTTAGTGCAAGAAGTCAGGAGAAAATGAAATGTCATCATCTTAAAGGTCTAGAATTTTCTACATCTGTAATATGCACAGTATTATAACATTTTAAAAAATACATAGCTTTATTTTCTATTAAGACAGCTATTATTAATTTGCCTAAACTCATTGAGAACAGAAAGAAATGATCAGAGCCTTTCCCTACCATCCTGTAGCTTGGGTCTTCAAAAATAGTTTGCATTCTTTTTCTTCGTTGCTGGAGGTTGTTGAAGTACAATGTATTAACTTTGCTAACAACTTTCCAATTAACAGTAACAAATCTAACAGACCACTGAAAAACACCTCTCTAGGTCATAGTGAGGTGGGATAATACCATACCACTTACGTCATGATTAGTGTCTCTTCTCCAGGCTCCCCCAGAACTCCATCCACAAAAAGTGGAATGGATGTGAAACTGTATTTACTCCAAGATCGTCCTTCATCAAAACTCAACCTAATGGCAGAACAGTTTGACAGTCATCACATATCAAATGGAAAAGGTGACATCTCTGTGTAAGGAAAGATGTTAGTCACCAGCACAGAAAGTAATACCACACTAAGACTTCATTACAAATAAGTGTACTTATTTACATCAAAAGACAGAAATAGAGATACTCAAGCTACTATGACAAGATGTGTTGGGGTATGAACAAGGGAGAATCAAATGAATTAGAAATAGTCTAATAGCATCGAGTAATATAGATAGATATCTTTTAAGTTCTTATACCTCATGGGACTATCTTCAAATCTGCAAGCAAGTTCAACAAAAATTAAACAAATCTATCAGAAAATGACCAACTCATAAATAAGTCCCACTTATATTACATAAATCCTTACTGATCTCACTGGAATGCCTACGGAAGGACAGGCTGATGAAGGCAAGAGAAGTCTGCATTTCTGGTGGTCCATTATAACATAAATGCCTGTGTTCTCTTCAAAATCCATATGTGAAAAATTGCATCACTAATGATATTAGAAAATAGATACTTGGCTAAAAATAGATCTAAAGGGTAGAGTCCTCAGTGTTTTGGGATAATTGTCTTGTACCCTGTAAAGATTTGTCACTTGTATTGGTTTAATAAAATGCTGATTGACCAATAGCCAGGCAGGTAGTGTAGGTGGGGCAACCAAGCAGTCAGTATAGGCTGGGTGACCAGAACAGGAGAATTCTGGGAAGAGAAAAGGCTCAGTCTGCAGTTATACCACAGACACAGGGGGAGCAAGATGAGAATGTCTCACTGATAAAAGCATCTGTGTGTTTCTTTGGGACTGAATGGCTGTGAAACCTCTATCAAACAAAATTGGATGTGATAATAGGTAGGTTAGTATGACCTTGCTCACACTAATCATAATAGTGAATAGTAGAGTGAATGCTTGTGAGATATTACTTGTAGGCAATTGACATGGTATAGATTCTTATATATTTACACAAATTCAAGTTATATTAAATATGCTCCTATTTCTGTTTATAATATTGTACAGTAGAGAAAGTTATTTTGTCATATTGTAAGCATGCATGCTTCTGATATATTGTATATGGATACAATTTTAGAATATATTTATAATATTGCACTGTACATTTCTACCTCTGATCAAGATAATTATACATTGTTTATATTTTGGGGTCATTGTCCTCATTTGCTACACAGCTGTTTAAAGATTAATATTCTAATATAAAGTCTTAGTCTTTAAGCTACATATGAATTAAGTATGATAGGTCTATCATCATCCATGTTTGCATATTTATGGTTAGACTAACCAGGTTCTTTAAATACATAGAGACTGTATTCCATGTGGATAGGTAATCTTCAACTACTTCAAAGAACTGTAGAATATGGCATTTTAAATAATTTAGGGTTCTGTTGACCTGAAACACAATTGCTCCTGGCAGCACCAATCCATTCATGAGAGAATGCTGAGCACCAAAGACGCTTGACTTGGAGCTTGTTTTCTTCTTGACAAAACTGGCCTTTGGGCAAGGAAAGTCAACCACTGACAAAATGCACAGTGTCTAGACAAGACAAAAAGGATAAAAAAAAAAAAAAACCTGCCAAACCTTGCCAAGACAGGGTAATTTTGTTCTGAAAATTTTCTTGCCTCCAAAAATGGTCTGTCAGTTATTCTAGTCCTTAACCAAAGATGGTTGCTCCAACACTGCAAATGAGACTTTGGGTGATTGCCCAAGTAGCCCGTTGTCTCTGCCACTTATTGCACATTTTGGAAGTTGCTTGATTGCACTTCCTGTCTACTCAAGTAATATTATTTCTCTTCTCAGGTCTTCAATGGGATTGAAGACTAGATAGTCATAGTTACTTACCTCTCATGACTTGACCAGCTATTTCTAATACAAGACTTAGAATCCTTAGGATAATATAATTAGTGAGATTATTGTTTATGCTGGTTGTAATTTTAATTTTTATACTTGATATCTGCTCTTATTGCATATAGTTTTGTATTAGGCTTAGAACTCTTTTATTTAAACAAAAGCGAGACGTGCTGTGGAACTCTTTCAGCCAATAGCCTTTAAAATACCAGTCCACTTGGGTGTGGCCTCTTATACTATAAATGCCAACATAAGACCTGTACACTCTCTCCCAGCTTCTGGATATGGTTCCTGTTCCCCATTCGTCAGAGGATTGTAATCTGTGAGTCTACCCCTAAATAAATAATCTTTTATTATGCTCAATTCTGAGTGAGTATGGGATTATTCTACAGCATGCATCATTACCTCAGAAATAGAAGTATTGTCTTAAGAAAAGGGCTTGGAATGTCTTTTCTCTTTTGTTATGTAGAAACACAGGGACAAGGCACTATTTAGGGATTCAAAAGTAGCTGTTCAGCTGAAATGGACCTGGCCAGCATTAGTGTCTTATACTTCAAGATCACAAAACTATGAAGAAATAAACTTTTCCTGTTCATGAGTTATCTTGTTATGGTATTTGGTAACAAAACCTGAGCACTAACTGAGACAACTGAATGAGAGGGTGTATTTTATTCTGTCTTTCCCTGTAGATGCCTTTCCACAGGACCAATCTTTGAAGTTTTCTTCTAAGGTCATTAATATAATAAAAGATGGAAGGAAAATCAGGCTTTTGATTTTTCACAAGCAAAATATTCAGTGGACCACTTCCAAATATGAATAAATAAATCTGTTGGAAACCCCTGTAGACATTAGGCCTTGCACATTCATCAATAAAAGAAACAAGTATATTTGAGGAATGTCACCTCATTTAAGGGGACTAAGGAAGTATCACAGGTGAAACAAGATAAGAGCAGAATAATCATGAACTGCAAATCTCCGTGTGGGATGCACAAAACTGTGTATATACTAAACTTCATGAGAGGCTGCTAGGGATGGGTGATTGCAAATATTGTCCTCTGCTGAGAAATTATGGGAGAGTGTGAATGAGGCTGTCCAGATGATGGCGCTGGGGAACTATGAAACTGATGCATGCACTGTCACATTTGAACACCATAATGCAGTTGTTCTTGTAGGAGCAGAAACACTTGCCCATCCTTCTGTTTGCCCCAATTTCCTCTTTCCAGTCTTAGGCCACAATCTTACTTCAGTGGAACAAACATGAAATTATGTGGTAGTTAGAACAAACATAGTTGTAGTGTTATGGCCAATTCAAATGCTGACCTGGATAAAATGGCCACATACATTTTTCTATGCTAGAAGTAGCCTTACCAAAGGTGACGAATTGGGAGAGATGTGTGTTTCATAGCAACCAGGACTCCACCTTGATCTAAGTACAAAATACTGTGCTCTTCTTCAAAGATCTGGATGAAAAAAAAAAAAAAAAAAGAAGAAGACATGGGCACACAATGACATTACATCTGCACCTGGTATCCAGGGTATGGAGAATCAGTCTAGGCAGGAGATTAAAATCTCTCACATAGAAATAGGTTTCCCTAAGCTTTGAGAAAATGTAAGTGAAAAGACAATGCTTCTCGACATGGGCTACACCTATCACTGATACTAAATAAAATAGTTGTATAGTTCTACAAAATAAATTTTAAGCATGAACGGCACCTATTCATGTTTTTATTCTCTTATATTGTGCAGTACTTATCAATTCCTATTTCTGAAGATGATATCAGAGCACAGGGAAACTGTAAATAGTGCACATATCTAGATGGAAGGATCCTTGGCGACAGTTTAGTACAACATTCTCATCATATACTAAGATTTGCAGAGTGGGAACGCACAAAGAACAATGGGTGAAGCCGAGGCTCACTGCACCGCATTGACCTCTTCAGATGTAATTATCTAAATATCTCCAAATTCTCACACTTGATCAAAAGAGATGTTTTCTCATTTGACTCATAGCTATCCTTCCAAGTGATAAGTAGCTCTAATCAAGACAAAATCATTAACTTTGGTCACATTTAAAATGGAGTCATTCATAAAATGTGGAAAAATGAATCTAAAATCAAATGGAGACAATCTCTAAATTTTTCTATATAAAACGCTTTCTGGGTTTTCAGTTAAAATGTTATGATGGGCTCATCTAAAGTTACACTAGAGACATAATCTCTCTTTAATCTTTTCAGTAAGTGTGTGTGTGTGTGTGAGAGAGAGAGAGAGAGAGAGAGAGAGAGAGAGAGAGAGAGAGAGAGAAATGCATGAGGAAGCTGAAGTTATAGGTGGTCATGAATTTCTGGATGTGGGTGTTAGGGGACCAAATTTTGGGTCTCTAAAGTACAGTAAGGAACTTAATCACATAACCACTCTCCAGCCTCATTAATTCTTATGCATAATATATGACCTCTACCTGTATCAGGAGAGTTCTATGTCTCATTTAGTGTCAGAAGAAAGAAACGGAATCCCGAGGAATCCTGACACTGTTCCCCCAAGACTTCCTTAAGGTTGTCCATCTTCTTTCAGACCCCCAAAATTTCTTCTGTACTCTTTTATCAAAATATGCAATACCATTGAGGGATTAAAACTAAGAAAGAACATTGGGCTATCAGGTCCTCCTCCTCTTTTTCCTTTCATGAAATTGAAAGTTAAGTGAGCCCGTTGTTAAGTATGATTACCTGTGCACTAGATTTCAATTTACAGTGCTAGTTATTGTATGATAATTAAGCACCAGAGGCTTATTAAAACATATTTATTGAGGTGTAACAGCCATACATTAGGCTTGTTGTGATAGCTAAACCTCATTAAATGCCTGCTTTATAAGCTGTCAAATTTCTAATTTTCATTCAGAAGAAAGGTAGGAGGCAGCTAAGCTAAGCATATTGGTTTGAAGTGGCTCCATTTGTGTTTATTGACCATATGTAGTCTGAGAATTATTACTTGGTTATTTACACATGAGATTTAAACAATGCAGAATGCCAACTGTGTAATGGCTATTTTTGCTTCTCTTTGAGGCAAGGAGAATTTATAAAGACAACTAAGTTTTACATGTGCAATCCACTCAGAAGGATCTAAGTTTCTTATATGATGGACTCAGGGATTCAATTTTCTTTTGCATAAAAATGCCTTCCAACTTGATTTCAGATGTATTTAGGTATGGATGATACGAAATACCTTTATCAAAGGATAAAAACATCAACCTTTAGAAATTTAGTTTAGTTCATTTCAAACTTGCATTAAAAGGAGAAAATGAAATACACTTTCTCATGTCAGAATATTGTCTTTAGGTTTCTAGATTTGAAATAAGTTGAACTATGACTTAGAACTTGAGCAGGCCAACCTAGACCAAGGGTATTTTCTTACCTGTCTCCAAGTGTTCCCTGCGTCTGAAGAGACAAACATGCTGATGTCGCTGTCTGACAGTTCAGAACCTATATTACCTAGAAAGAGTGCAGGGCCATTAGTGGGAGGAAGATTCTGAAAGAGTCAAGAACAGATCACATCAACAGTCTGCACTGCCTAGATGGATTTCAACTATAAACTTTCTGTCTAAGCAAGGATTTTCAGTAAACTTGCTTCAGGTCAATGGTTTAGTTGACTTTCAAAAATATTTTTATCTTGCTCATGAAATTCCAACCACAGATGTCTAGTTTCTTAAGATAAACACATATACAATAGTAAGCAGAGCATTCACGCATCTTACCTGAAGCAACTATAATACTTGGGGCTGTGTCCCTGCTGGCAATGATCCCAGAGGTGTAGGGATTCTCAGAGACCTTGAGATGAAGGTGGAGTGAGCAATAAGGCTAGGAGAAAGAGAACTTAAGGTCATATATGCACAAAATCAACACTGCCACTCGAAACATAGATTCTACAGCCAGGAACATTGCTACAAATTCAGGGTTAACCTGATCTACAGAGGATGTTTGAAGGATTCCTAGAGAGACCCTATCTCACTTTTGTAAAGTAAATATAAAACAAAATAAACTAAAAGACCTAGATTCAGAACATCTAATCTATCTATCCATCTAGCTATGTATCCAGTCTGTCTTCCGTCTATGAACATCTTCTTCTACCCATTGCACTCATCCATCTACCAACTCATCAATATTGTGTTCTTAAATGTCTATTGTCAACCAAGTATATGACATCTGTTAGGTGGCTGTAAAAAAAAAACCAAAACAGTCCCAATTTACCTAAATTATATTTATATGATAAACTTTCTAACAACTGTAAAATGCTAGTCAGAACTCATTAAACAATTATGGACCAAAATATGATTTCTGCAATTACAGACTTAAAAAAAAAAAGAAAGAATGGACATGAGATCTTTCTATTGGTCACCGGGTTAAAACAAAGTATTTTAGTGCTCCTAATAAAGACAAAAATAAAACATTATAAAACTCTAGATGGTGAAGAGACACAGGCCAGTTTGGTGTTAGGACTGGCTCTTAAGAGACAGTACAACCTGAAGGAGGATGGGAAGGTGATATGACCAAGGTATTTGAGGGGACATTTGGGACATGATCAATACCAATAACAAAGAACAAGAGGGGAATTGATAGACTATCACAGTATGTATCCAGGGAAGACTAAAGGAACAACGAAACATGATGCTATAAAAAAGGGGATGAGTTGACCTAGGAGAACTTGAGAAATCAGTTGGCAGCTCAGCCATTAAATACCACAGAACATGGTCTCAGCATAGAAAATTCTGTATGAGATGTGAAACTGCCCTAACATCTGCAAACAAATGACAGTGTCATCACCAGATTCTGATTCTTTTTTAATGAATATGTATTAATTATACAAACTAATGAGTTTCATCACTGACATGTACACAACACACTTTAATCATCTTTATCCCTTCACTTATCCAATTTTAATTTTGCTCATTACAAAAATAATTTTTGTAGACAAAATACAGTAGCAATAAAATTTAAATGAAAATTTTAGGCAATTGTTTATGTGTGCTTAGGGGCCTTGGTCAAATTCTCTGACTAAGAAATCAATAGTTTCACAAAAGTGGATAGTACTTCTTTATATGAATTTTGTTGATAGTACTCCATATACTGAACTGTCCAAAACACAAGCTTGTGTTTGAACCACAGTTTCCTTTGTCTCTTAGGAAGACTGCTTCCTAATCTTATTGAGTTGAGTTTTGGGAATCACCAATGTATCTCAGCTATGACTTTTATTCTTCTCTGTAAGTCTCAGTCAGAAAATATTCAGAGAACTTCTGAAATGCAATGATTAAATTTCTAGAGGATGGTGGAAATGACAAAGCAAAAATGAAACTCAGGAATAAAAGCAGCCAAACACTGCAAAATGAAATCACAGATCACAATAGTATAGCAGAACTCTCACTAACAGCACGGAAAGTACAGCCCTGAAGGAACAATGAATTACTGGTTCTGCATGAAAATTCTATGCAAAGTTTCAAGGAGAGTTTCATGCTCATAACATTCTGAAAAGGAACACATAGCTCTAAAAGAAAAGGAACCAAATACTAGGCTTCTTTATGCCCATCAGGAAGACAAGAGGAACTAAGAGCAATGTTGTGGGACACCTAGACATGCTACGACAAGAAGAATGGACCCATCATACCTTGGAAACTTTCCTATCTTATGTAGATTACATATTTCCTTTTGTCTGATTTACCAACATTTATTTTACTATGAGTAATCCTGAATGGTCTGTTTCAGGTATGGTATAATTTTATCTTTCTCAGACAATCTAGAAATAAAAACAAATCAGGTTCTATACTGCATCTTATATGGAATCTTGTATATAATTTATAGCATTCCAAGGAGTGTCATATAGCCTGGGTATTATTTCTTAGACATAAGAGATTTCATGGAGTGCCATTTAAATCACTTAACAGAGCACTAGATTCATGTACAAGGGAGTGTCCAGGTCACAGTCTTGAGCCAGTCATTTGTAGCAATTGAAAGATTATGAGGCTCAGTTGACATCTGAGCCAGTTATTTGGTATGCAAACATGTGATAACAAAGAGACGAGGGCATTTCAATCAGCTATCTCAGACCTGCTCTCTGGCCCTGGCTTTCAGAGGGCCAAGGCATTAAGTTGAGAAGCAAAGGCATAAATGATCTCACTGATTTGGCCTCCTCTCTCACATTTGTAGTCTTGGATTGCCCCCAGCTGGTACATAGAGAATTTTCTATGCCATATTTTTCTGTTTCTTTCATTTTCTTTATTAAACAGTTCATATGGCTGACTCCAATGTCTCAAGAAAATCAAGAGAAAGTGACTGGACTTTAGTTAACATTTTGTATTTGGCCTGTTGTGTCAAAAGTTATTCCATGACAAACCACTGTCGGGTATATTATAAGGACCATCACGTTGTTCTGAGTCTTTGGAGGACATGGAAAACGGCTTCTGAATTCTCATGTACATTTTGGCCAGGAAGGGGCACTTAGTGTTTCTTTTTCCCCCTTTCTTTTTGCCTTTATTTATTTAAAATGTCTTTATTTTGCTCATGGGCAAATAGTTGTGGGGGACCTACACTATGCTGCTTCTTACAGCTGCAGTTGCTGCAGTGATCTCTCCAGGGGCATCTCCACCACAACAAAGAATGGGAAGTTTCAGGTTTCAAGGGTGCTTCCTGATATCTTTTCCCTTCCTTCCGTACAAAGCAAAGAGAAGCATGTACACTGATACCAACCATTTCTAGCAGCTGGCTTACAGAAGATGGGTCACCAGCATCCCCAGCCAGAAACTGCCCTTTGTGTCCTTCATCTACTTACCAGACATGATATATTATGAATCTTCCTAGTGGCTCTGAGATACTGGCTTCTTAGTCTCTAATGTTATCCTACTGAGGCACAGGATATCTTGAGAATCAGAAGCTCATGGAAAGCCATAGAAACGGAAGAAATGCATGTGCAGAGTCCCATCTGATTTTAGGGAGTTCCCAAACCCATTACCTCCAGATCAAATTACCTTTCTTTCCTACCCTGTTCTTTTCTTTTATCTAACAAAACTATTTTGACAAATATATGTGTTCCATAAATACTCAGAGGGACTAAATTAACACATTGTTTCTTCATCTTGGATACTTACCATTCAATCCTCCTGTCTAACTGAAACACTGTACCCACCCATCATTTTATTTTTTTTTAATCGTTGCTTTTCTGAGCCATGGTTTCAGTTGTGGCCTCTGTTTAGGCATCCTTTGATTCAATCTTCCCCTTTATAGAACTTCCCTGGTTTTATTGTTTGTTTGTTTTGTTTCATAGAATATCCTCTGTTAATAGATATTTTGCTCCTTGATGTTGAGAACACCACTATTTACATCTCATAGGTTAGTAGCAAATCATATTTGTCATTTGGTTGCTGCTTACTATACTTACTTTACTATATACAGTTTTTCAGTGATCCATCAATTATCTTCTGTGTTTCAAGTACAATGGGGAATCCCCTGGTGTGAAAAGACACTTGTCCAATAAAGATATGAACTTAAAAAACTATTAGGGCTGATTTAATAAAGAACCAGTCCAAAAGTCTACTTTTCCCCTCTACCCTCTGTAATAACAGCTTTTACATCTTACACTCATGGCAACTCATTTCCATAGCTACTAATGTGAAGGTTATACCATAAACACAGGTCAGAACTTTCAATAGGCCCAAGACAGCCACTAAGTCCCCAAACAGCACTCTCAAACACTTCCCCAAGAACACGTGATTTTGTATATTTCTTATTCTAAATTATAGCAAATAATTCATTTTGTATTCAGTAAAGATTCAATCACAAAGAAGAAGGAGTTATTTAAACGTGGGACATCCAGTACCACTTCAGGTCAACACAATGGAGTCCTGGAGTCTACAGGAATCTCTCACAGCACTCCCTCTCAGGTCCAGATTGAAAATTTTTAAAAAAAGTAAAATGATTACAAAGAAGCCAGGGTCTCTCTGCACAGAACCCTGTGCTTTTGCTCAAAGGCCCAAGCATCTGTCAGAGTCTCGGGTGTGCCCCCACATTGCCTCTGAGGAGCCCGAGTCTCGGGCTTTGGTGGAAGATGACTATGACCTGCAATACCCTATCTAATTGTTCAATGCAGTCTTCAGAAGAAAGACATCTCAGCTGAGTCTCGGGCAATCAGTCTGAAAATCCTAAAAATACAGCCCCAAATTACTCTGGATGTCTTATTCTATAGAATGCATCTTGCCAGGGACATTCCATTTGGGGCTGTAATTCGGGACTTGTTCACGTTTGTAACAGCCCCGCTGGAAAGTCTCTTCTCTAATCACTGGTCTCTGCTTTGAGTGACACTGCCACTGTCCAAGTACTACAATATAAAATCGCTTTTGTATCTCCGCTGCCACTGGCTCCCAAGCCTTAGAAGCTTTCTTTTCTTTCCTTCTTTCTTTCTTTTCAGTTGAGGTGTCCTGTAGTTCAAAGATTTTTCTCTCCTATTTTGTGCCTTTGAGATGATTTTTTTTTAACTGATTTCGCCTCTTTTCCTTTGTCAGCTTCCTTTACTCTGTTTCCTGGTTTTTAAAAGTTTATGTTAAACTTCTTTGAGTAACAAGATTAATAAAGGAGGAAGGCCCAAAGATTCCTGGATCCAAACCCTCTACATCCCAATAATTCATGTGTCCTTAATCTCAATTAGCCTCTTGAGTTTGTTAACATTGGGGTCAATTTGAATTCATGAGGATGTTACAGTGATGACTTCAGGGTAACTGACAAGGATGGCACAGCCTCGGTTAAAATCAAACCTGAAAGTCAAACATCTTTCAATAGGGTGATTACATTTACCACACAAAACATACAAATATAGTATATATATTGAATCCTCCATGACTCAAGTTTGTATGATTCTTGATACAAATTTTTGAAATTGACATAAAGATGGTCATAGTTTTTGTATTCTTGGAGTAGACATTTAATACAGGAAGATGGGAAAGAAAATCAGCGTATAAATATACTGATTTTAGATAATACATCTTATAAAGAAAAAGAATAAAATAAACAGTTTTGACATCATTGGATACTCATGAAAATCAACTAAGAACCAAGGATCTGAATGGAAAGAAAAGGCCTATTTTGGAAATGGGATCCTTTAAAAGAAATAATAGGAAATCCCATGGCAAGACATACATGAACACAGTAAGTTCATAATGAGAAAAGTAGTGAACTCTTTCTTCTCCATAACAACTTGTGAGTGAGGAAGGATGGAGGGAATGGGTAGGGTCTAACTAAAAGGAATAGACAGAGGCAAGGTAATAGGACACCATACATGCTTTGATAAAATATTGGATTTATTGTACTTGAACTAGAAAGTCAACAGAAATCTTAAGTAAATGATGCACATTTAAACTTTCATATAACAGTGTTTGATAAAAATGGATAAGTGAGAAATCTAGTAGGCAAGATAATATGCAAGAGATGTAGTAGTCATCTCGGGCCATAAGTGCGCTTCTAACTGCAGAACACAAGTGAAAATTTGAGGGTGAAGGAAATCACATAGCATACACATTTGTCTGTCACTGATACTTTTTATGTACACTTTACCTCAAAAGAATTGACTTTTTAAAAAATGGGCTACTCTGTGAAGGATGAATTGTCAGGTAGAAATGAGAAGAGAGTGTCTGGCCAATAGGAGATTTTCGCTGAGCATCAACCAATAAGTGATTACACTTGGATTAATAGTCCCATGGTAATGGGCAAGGGGGTCAATGCTGTATCTCTATTTCAGAAATATAATACAGCTTCACAATTCTGGGTTGGGGTTGGGAGAACATGTGCCTTGCTCAGTATCTTGCTAAGAAGAGACACTTTCTGTAGTCCCTTTATGATGCCACAGAGGAGAGACAAAGCTCTCTATGTGAGATGGTTAATAGCCTTTCTCATAGGTATTCATCTTCAAGTTATATGGTATGTCTGAAAGAAGTTATTAAGGTGCTAGTATATTTGAACATCATAATTCCATAACCTGGAGTAGTTGGGTAGGAAGCTGATACATTTTAATAGCACTGACCCATTCCTTGACTAATATACATAGCCAATAGATACCCATAGCATTTACCTAGTCGATCACTGGACTGTGAACTCTCCATCACAACAGGCTATTTTTCTCCCAGAAGGTTGCTGGTAATAATGATGGTGTCTGAGTAGGAGTTGAAATTTAAGACTGCTTTGCTGATGCACAGTGATGACATAAATGTCTGTTACAACTAATAAGGTCAAACTATAGCATCCTTTTGAGAAAGATGTTGACCTGCCTACTGCTATGTGAGATGAACCTGAGAAATGACTGCCACAGGATTGTGGGATAAATGAAGTAGAGTGAAGATTACATCAAAGTCAGTGTTATGAATAGTGAGATCAATAATAGATGCACATATAGATGAAATAGATTTGAATAGATACAAATATGCATATAGCCACATCTTAAGACCTTACTATAAAACTACATGATTGTCCCTATACTGATATTTGTGTAATCTTTAAAATAACTTCTGAGATGTTTTAAAGAATATTATATGTATTAAAATATACTTTGATTGAAAATGTATCTCTTCCTCTTCTGTTTCTGTATTCACTAGGTATCCATTTGATGTAGGTGGGTCTTCTGTCTATGTGTTACTTTCATTGGTCAAATAAAGAGACTGCCTTGGCCTTTGATAGGACAGCAGCTTAGGCAGGTGGAGTAGACAGAACAGAATGCTGGGAGAAAGAAGCAGAGTCAGGCAGACACCATGGCTCTCCTCTCCAAGATGGATGTTGGTTAAACTCATGCCAGTAAGCCACAGTCAAGTGGCAATACAGATTATTCGAAATGGTTTAATTAAGATGTGAGAGTTAGCTAAGAAGAGGCCAGAACTAATGGGCCAGGCAGTATTTAAATGAACACGGTTTCCATGTAATTATTTTGGGGATTAGCCAGGCAGCTGGGAGCCAGGTGGCGGGAAGCTACCCGCTGCTCCTTTTACAACATCCACTGATGTGCTGAGCATATCATGGCCATCAGAGCCACTATAATGCAACTAAGAAATGCTTTGTTTATAAAACTAGTATCACTCAGTCAAGTAAGCTGAAACCTCCTTGATAACACTGTCTTTCATCTTCTCTAGGATACCATCCTATCTTTTAACATATATATAATTTTTGCTGACATATCTGATAAAGAAAAGTCAACGAAAAAAGCCATAATTTAATGCAATGATAAGGATATGCAAACTTTCCTTTCAAGGATAGTAATATAAACATCTTAGACTTGCTTTGAATGCACATGGCTACTGATTCTACCTTCGTAAAGTGAAAATGGCCATGGACAATAAAATAACCATGTAAGTGTGACTGTGTCCCAGTAAAGCATTACATAGCAAAACAAGTGCTAAGCTACATTTTTCCCTACATGTCACAGATTTTGCAAGGCCAGACATTATAGACTAAAGCAGATAAACTGATAAGAATATGTAGAGGAAGCAAATGCATGCTTAAGCCATTGATTAAACCATTGACTTAGACCACTGACTCAATAAAAGGTTGAGTCAAAAACTTCTTACAAAATGAGGTAAAATGTGTCTACAGGAAAATACACTAAGACAATCTGAATTCACTTCACCAATGGATGTGGGATTCTCCTCTGTATGCTATGAATATATTTTATTATCATTGGTTAATAAAAAAGCTGTTTTGGCCTATAGCAGGGCAGAATATAGCCAGGTGGGGAAAACTAAACTGAATGCAGGGAGAAAAAAGGAGGAGTCAGGCAGATACCATGTAGCTGCTGAAGTAGAAAGATGCTGGAACTTTACAGGTAAGCCACAACCTCATGGTCATACATAGAAATGGGTTAAGACGTAGGAGCTAGTTAGGAATATGCTTGAGCCATCAGCCAAACAATGTTGTAATTAATATAATTTCTGCATGATTATTCAGACCTGGATGGTTGGGAATGCAATGCACAGTCTCTGTTTACAACCAACTCTACAGATAAATGTATGCAACATTAGCTCTGTAACTGGTGATTTATCTTGAATTATAAGAGAGCACAGGGAACAGCCTCACAAGAGATGAAAATCATCATATTTCCCTAAACCTGGAGGTACTCGTCCACAGCTGAGATGGAGGGCTTGGGTTACATCTCAGTAGTAGAGATAACAATTTAGCACATAAATAAAACAGAAAATCTCATCACCACCACCCTAAACACCAGACAAACAGAAATGATTCAGGCTAGAAAGAAGAATTTTGTAGTAGAGCAAAGGTCTGGGACATGCTCTCATTTATTTGACCATCAAAAATGATAGGCCTAACTGCTCTTTTCTTTGGATTCTTCCCATCTTTTTCATCAGCTGAACAGAAGTCCCAAAAGTATCTTCAACATCTTGTTGGACACCAACTCCAACCCTTCACCATGTGTGGCATGCTGCTTCAGCCCACAGGACTCACCAGTAAACAGTGCACAGGGTCCCCTCTTAGATCTGCATCTGGAGCCTGCAGCAAACGCCAGTCTCTGCCTTTGTTGTAAGTGATGAAAGTCTTCACTTGGTTGTCAATCTTCTTGTTAGCCAAGAACATTCCCTTTATCCCTGCTACCTGGGAAAAATTGACATGGCTGAAAAATACATCAATTTGAGAAAGGACATTCTTTTTACATTAAAATTACAACCAACTGCCAAATTTTTATCCTAGAGAAAAGACAGGATAGGTGTAAGTGCTTAGCTATCCCTCGCAAGTCTACCTGACAGAAACCAATAGCCTTGCGCCCCCTGCTGAATGTGAGTCATAATACAAGCTGAGTAGAGGTTTATCATCTTTTTGTCTGTTTGCTTTGCTGATACTGATGATGTCTATAATAACTTTTTTCAATCACCAAAGATCAGAAATAATCAAGATGTTCATTATGAGGAAGAAAGTAAAATCAACAGTGACATGTACAAACAATGGAATATTATTACTTGACACTAAAATGCACCAAAAGCCATAACATGATGGGAGGGGGGGGAGGCAGACACATACTATAAGTGAAGGTGGTAACTGCATGACATCCTGTAAATGGAAATCTATGCAGACACACACATACACACACTCACACGCACATGCACACACACATACAAAAGGTCTGCGATTGCCTGGGTCTAACTTGGAGCAAGAAATGAATATGTGAAGCATAGAGGATTCTACATGCAGGGATCACATAATGATGCATGTATGTAACAGGATACTTGTCAAATCCATGAAATGTAAAACTGAGGCTGTGGTCCTTTCTGTAAGCTGTGACTTGCAGAGATTTGTCATCTAATAGTAAGTTGTCTGCAGCCATCAGTCTCCATGAAACAAACCCCAACACTTTCAAGTCTGTTACTTGACAAGCTGTAAGTAAATAGGGACAACTTATATTGTACACTGTCATGCAATGTAATATATATCATATATATGATATATATGATTATATATATATATAATCTCTCATTTAATCTTTACAATACTCTGGGAGATAATTGCTAGTTCTACCTTACATGTCAGAGATAGCTCAGGTACATGCCAGGCCACACTGTTAATGACACAGCAAATGGCAGACCTGAGATTATAGCCCAGAAAAATGTAGTTTCCGAGTGCATGGCTGTAATGGCTATCTAAATTACTGAAGTATTTTCAATTAAAAGAGGTCAGTTGGAAGACCCTTTTTGGGTTTGTTGTTGTTGTTTGTTTTCTTGAGACAAGGTTTCTCTGTGTAATAATCCTGTCTGTCCTGAAATTCTCTTTGTAGACCAGACTGGCCTTGAACTCACAGATGTATCTGCCTCTGCCTCCTGAGTACTGGAATTAAAGGTATGTGCCACCATCGCCTTATGAAAGACTCATATAGTTGTTATTATTTCTTTTTTGATGTAAGAGTTTTCCCTACTAATTCATCAAATGTACCGAGCATTAGAGAAACAAAATAAATTTTAAGAAGTAACTGTTTTGTTATCAAATAACCATTCCTTCAGTCTCGTGATGTTGCTGTTCTTACCAAAATCAGTTGGCATCAGAGCTGTAGAAATTGCTCAGCACTTAGGTTTACCAGTTTCTCCTCTAGAGGACCCTAGTTTTGTTCCTAGCACTTACACAGCTATTCTGACACTAAATGCTGCTAACAACTATGAAAATGCTTACTCATTCTACATGCTAAGGCTAATAATTAACAAGCTATCAAAATTGTATAATCAAAGATCATCACTTGTAAACTGTTTTTATTTTTCAGGAATTTTAGATTTTTACAAACCATATGTTAGTCCGTGTAAAATGATTACAACCCAGGAAAATTGGAGATTGGTGAGGGAAAGGTCCAACACATGTTGAATGAACCATTCCATGTCTATGCATTTTTACTCATCCGATGCCCATCAATAGATTGGGGTAGAGTGGTCAATAATCACATATTCAGGATGAGAAAATGGAGACTTAGATTACATTTGGAGCTAGCTATAACATATATGGGGAATAAAAAAATACTTGAGAATTTTGAAGTAATTTAAGTTAGCTTTTTATTGTGATATGATTTATTTTAAGCAGAAGAAATACACGAAAGTTGTAGTTTTGCCTGTCCTTGTTAATACAGAGTGCTATGCTCATTCCCCTGCCTTTCAAGGGTTGCTACAAACCTGTGTAATAGCTTTCATCCCAAGTCTCTGCAGAAGGAAACTGACGTGTTGACAAATGTTAATTGTTTTCGATCACAGAGACTGGAGTTTCATATTCTGTTTGACTTCCAAAATTGTTTCAGCAGATAGCTCAGAATTTGTCAGCTCTAAAGTCTGGGTCTCAACCCACACTAGACACGCATCTCGATTTTGTTTTTGACACAGGCAGTTCTCATTAGTCTGTACCTGTGGATTTGGCATCTGGGATAATTTAGAGACAAGCCAAATCTGTACTCTTTTGGAAGAAGATTGTTTAACAATAAATGCAGTAAAGGAGTTGTTGAGAGGAATACTTTGAACTACTTACGAAAACAAGCCACATTCTAAGCAATCAACAGCTCAAACAATTTCTGGTGCATTGTTGATTCTCACCAAATGTGGAAGGCATAAACTCCAGGAGTGTTCTACTTCCCAACAACTAGGTGTTAATTACCAATGATATTTAGTTATTCACTATAACAGCTCCATACAGGCTGCTTCCCAGGAAACCCCAAGTTAGTTTTCCATATGTTCAAGAGGCTGTTATGTACTTAAATAGGACCACCTTGCCAGTTCTTTAAGAATTAAATTGCATAAATCAGAATTTTTACAAAGCCCTGTTGGTCCGCCTTCTCAACCAGTATCTAGCCAGAAATGAGAAACGATGTAGTCACCCAGTCCTCTATAGGGTTAAAAAAATATAAGTGCAAAAGGAATTTGAAAAAAATGTTACCTATTTCAATCATTTCATTCTCTGCTTCCTCCTCTGCCCTCTCTCTTTCTTTGACAAGAGTCACAGAGCAGGAGGCTATGTGTTTAGGAGCTGGTTCATTTCATTTGTAGACGTGGTGACTTTACTGGCCCCCGACTGCTTGGCATTATCAAATGCCACTTGAGCAGAGAGCTAGCCTGTGTTATTCATCTTTGAAAGTGTGGCCTTCGGGTTTATCTTGAGGAATAAATACTTGGCAAAGAGGGAATGTGTGTCAAGAGGGGTAAAAGCTGGAGAGAGTTGGTTTATTTTTCTCTTGTAAACAAGGCACTTTATTTGTTTGAATTGCTTTCTTCTTTTTAATTGCCTTGCTTCTTTAGCTTGACCTGCAAAGATGGTCAACTGTGTCTTTTACTGTCACGGTGAGCTTGATGAATGCATTTTTCTATGTTTCTCACTGAAATCCTTTGAACAAGGCTCCTTATTCCAACAGTTTTTAGAAAAGGTTTCATCATATCTTACTTGGCCTATCCACTGATTCTTATCAAAGGGACAGAGTTAGTGCATAAAGTATGGAATCATGTGGGTGTCCTTGTGTGCACATTTATTTGAGAGTGGGGGGTTGTGTGGGATGCTGTTGGGGAATAAAGAGTGTTATTTTGCCACATACCTTTCTCTGTTCTCATACTTCATGCATACTTAGAATGGAGTGGAGGAGAATATCCAATGGAAGTTGCAGCTTCACACAGACAAAAAATAACCAATAAATATTCCTTGCTACATCCTGATACTAGGAGTGCATCTTCTTTTGGAAAAAAAAAGACCTGTTAAATTTCATTCCCATTGAATTCAGCATAATAATCTCTAGGAATGTTGACTGTGCTCAAAGTAACTTTTCTCTCCTCATTTCTCATAGGGAGGAATTTGATTCCACGAGTCCTAAAAGTAATTTAAAGTTATTTATTGCCATTTAACATCTGAATCTAAGATATCATTTTGATTAGGCTTTAAATATGAAGTACTACAGCTCAGACTTCAAGCTAAACAGCATACTTATTATATTCAATGTATTGTATTCCTTTCTTTATCGTGTTCTCTGTACACGCTGACCACCCTGGAATCTCACAGATAATCTACTAAAGTGTTTCTTCCTGTTTGTTCCTCAGAGACAGCTTAATACACCTCTTCCAGAAGTCAGAATATCTTCATCCTTATCCACTGTCCCTAGCATGTCTATGTTCTTTATTTTGCCTCTTTTATATATGGTATCATGTCCTGGTTTCAACTCTGTGAACTTGTCTAAGAGGTAATAACCTGCCCAAAAATTTTTCTAGTATCCTTTAAACTTTTATCAGAAGTTAAAATGACATCATCTACCATCATGATCTTTAAAAATAATGTAAACTGATGTTCATTCACTAAAACATCCTTAATATTATTAATGGTGCAGTCACTTTGTATAAGAAATCCTGGTTTTGTTTTATCGAGATAGGTCATAAGAGTTCTCTCCTAGGTGACATAATAACTCTGGAAGGCTTAGGAAAAAGAACTGCCATGCAGTGAGTCAATACCATGTCTACATACTTTGATCATGTCTCCAAAAAATCAAATCAAACCAAAACTATGACAATTAATTTACTTAAATGCATTGAGACCTCATGAAATGCTAGGCTTCACAAACCTCCGCACATGAACCCACTTCATGTATTTTGTAAATTAAAAATTGTAATCACTTTGAGGAGAATAAATAAATGCTCAGATATGGCAAATCATCTTCCCAGTACCATTCAGTCACAGGCATGGACTGTCCATCAGTTTGTCCAATTCCAGAGCCCATATATTTAGTCCTGTGGTTGTCTTGTTTACACAACGTTTTCTGCTATTCTACAGTATTGTGAGAAAAATATCACACTGGCACATCATACTTATAGGACTTGCCAGTAATCATTCTTTGATGCCTTTACTCTGTAGTCATTCAGTAAATCCTGAACACGTGTTTCTTCCTTTAACCACTGAAGTTCTAATAACCGGAATATTTTAAGCACCTCTCCCTTCATCTTTGAAATGGTCTTTGAGATGTAAAATGTGCTAGGTTCTTTGATGATTTAAAGGAAGGGTATCAGACACCTTCCTTTTCATGTTTATTGTCTAGCAAGTTCTCTCCTCTGCCAATTTTCCACGTGTTCCAAGTAGAGCTCAGATTGGGAGGCCTCTTGTGC